TCAATCTGATAGCAATATGGCCACAATGGCAGCCATTTTGAAAATCTGGTTATAACTACTTCAACATGGAAAGTCATATCAGTATGAGCTTATCACCAGAAGACTATTTATGATCTCCAGCTGGTCCTCAGTGATGATAATGCAAATCTGACAAATATGGCTGCCATGGAAGCCATCTTTAAAATCCCCTTTCCACTCCTTTCATATTTACAAGGGGTTTTCACCTGAAGATATTGTTACAGTGTTATGTTGGTGCTGGATGAAAATGATGCTTAGCTAATAACCAACATGGCAGCCATCTTGAGTTGCTACTCCTTCAAAATGGATGATCACATTGACATGGGGTTTATACAAGCTGACATTTTGTGATATTTAGTTGGTCCTCAATGAAAATGGTGACCTCCAAACACACACAACATGACCACCATAATGAACACGTTGTCATGTCACTAATTTTCCTAAATGGATGGTAATATTGACATGGGGTTTTAATAATAGGTTCTTTAATGGTGTATAATTAGTCCTAAATGAAAATGGTATTAACCTGACATCTAGTATGGCCACCACAGCAACTAATTTAAAAATCTTATTACTCAAGAATATAAGAGTAAACAATGGCTTCAGAGATGCAGCAAAAATAAATAAATTCCTTTGAATGAGGGCCTCAAGGGAGATTAATTCTTAGCTAATTGAGTTACCCTCTTTAAATAAAGTTATAATAATAATAAAAGAGATGCTTTCAACATTCTTTTGTTTTAAAAGAAGAAATGGTCTTATCTTAAATTCCTACACATTCTTTTTTTTAGATGCAAGGGTGTCTGTCTCTTGGAGAGATTCTTGTTTATTGAATTTTTATTTTGTAGAATTGTGATCTATTTGTAGATGGAGGAAGAAACATGACAAGGACATTGTATACTGTTTAAAAAAAATGAATGGAATCTTTAGAAATTACATTTTTAGAAATAAAGAAAATTGGAATAAGAAAAAAGACAGGTTTGCTCTGTGGTTCTAAAATATTTAATTTTAAGAAAGGGGGCCATTTTGTGGTATTTGATGAATCCTAGGGGCGAAAATAGTATGGATAACTTCAAATAAGAAAATATAAAATATTGGTAGAGCACTTAATTGCTGTAGAATGTTGTTTGGATCCACATTATTTTCAATACACCAGTTGATTTTGATCTGGAATAATTGATCAGGCAATGCAATTTATATCAAGCCAAATTTTCCAATTGATGTCTTGATTGATTGATGAAGCTGCTATCTCGGATACATCTCTTATCAAAATGGACCTTGGTATTTATGTTCAGTAACTTAGATACCCAATATTTTCTTGTTTATGACAAAATCACCAACAGAACTATAATGAAGCTGCAATCCAACCATTCTTTGCAATAATACTTAAAAGCAGTCCTCTTGAGATTAATAGGTGCTCAAGTTTGGGCAATAAGTTGATTTTCACAGAGTGTAGTGTGTGTGTGTGTGTGTGTGTGTGTGTGTGTGTGTGTGTGTGTGTGTGTGTGTGTGTGTGTGTGTGTACAGCTATAAATACTGTAATGACATTTTGCCTTCTTTTAATGATTGAAGCAAATGGTTAACAACATTATTGTTCATGTTTTTGTCTTTTTAAACTTCTATTACCACTATGTTTTACTCCCATATGCTATTGAAAAACACTTTTGCTTTGATTTTTGGGAAATTATAATTAAAATTAATTCTGTCATATGTGTCTACTGTTTTGGATTCCTTGTCCTATTTTGTGATTTACATTATGCTTGCATTTTTAAGGGCAGAAATAAGGGATGAAACTTTTCAAGTAATGTCTGTTTTAATTGATTATTGCAAATGGAACATAGTATTATTTTGCCATGTGACTTATGGGTAGCCTGACATTTTGTATAGGCTTGACTTTGCCATGTGACTTATGGGTAGCCAGACATTTTGTATAGGCTTGACTTTGCCATGTGACTTATGGGTAGCCAGACATTTTGTATAGGCTTGACTTTGCCATGTGACTTATGGGTAGCCAGACATTTTGTATAGGCTTGACTTTGCCATGTGACTTATGGGTAGCCAGACATTTTGTATAGGCTTGACTTTGCCATGTGACTTATGGGTAGCCTGACATTTTGTATAGGCTTGACTTTGCCATGTGACTTATGGGTAGCCTGACATTTTGTATAGGCTTGACTTTGCCATGTGACTTATGGGTAGCCTAATGATTCATGCAAAGGCTTAATTTTGCCATATGACTTATGGGTAACCCGATGTGTGCATGGGTTGGAGTTTTTGTTTATATTGCTTGTTTGAGGACATGGAAGACAATATTTTATTATATGTTTGTGGACAGCAAGAAATTCCTTTTTTGTTTGCAGTTTGAAAATAAAAACAAATGGTTATGATTTAAAACATAATGGATATATTATAGGTGAAACTGGGTTTTAATGGCTATTTTGTATTATGAAAATGGGTTTATTAGTTACATATGTATCTCAGACAAAAATGGATTTATTAGTGATATACTGTATGTATCTCAGATAAAATGAGTTTATTAGTTACATATGTATCTCAGATGAAAATGAGTTTATTAGTTACATATGTATCTCAGATAAAATGAGTTTATTAGTTACATATGTATCACAGATGAAAAAGGGTTTATTAGTTACATATGTATCTCAGATGAAAATGGGTTTATCGGTCACATATGAAAATGTTTTTTTTAGTTTCATATGTATCTCAGATGAGAATGACTTTATTATATATTTATTTCAAATGAAAATGGCTTTATTAGTTATGTATTTATCTCAGATGAAAATGGAGCTGATGGTTCATTTTAGGTTCCTAATGATGAATGTATTGATATTGATATGATGCATTTAATTAACCAACAATTTGACAGGCTGAGCACAAATTTGTAATTGTTCTTCGAATTACAGAAGTCTCATTTGTGTTTCAGATCTGCAGAATGTTTATTAAATAAGTACATAATTGATGAGAATTACATATGATAGTTTGTTGTAAGGGCACTAATTTTAGTAGTTGATGTGTAAACTTCACTTTTAAATGAGCAGAGTGGGTGTGTTTCAGGGTTCAATCAAACTTGTATTTTTGAATTAAAGTAGTACAGAAAGTTGTCAAATTTTATGCAAAAAACACTAAAAATACATCCATCTCTTTTCAACCCTCCCCATCCCCAAGCAGAAACCCTGCCCAAGCACAAGAATAAACCTTCCCCCAGCCTAAAGCAAAAACTCATAAACTAAGAAATTCTTTATACCACTAGGAACTGATATAAAAAGTCTGTGACAATTTTTAAGTTGTAGCAGTTACAATTTTAGAGTAAATATCTTATTTCAAGAAAGCATCAGACTTCAAGCAAACAGTGTTTGGTGCAATATTTTTTGAAAACAAAATTTCTTTATATTTATCAGTTGTAAGGAAGTGGAATTAGTATGGTGCATTCATTTTGGAGGAAGATGATTATTGTTGGCTAATATCATTGCTCTAAACCGGCATTCAGCCATTTTAATTCTATGAACTACAAAAAAATGGAGACACTGCATACACTGAGGTTCATCTAATAAAAAAATAAATTTAAAAAATTTTTAAAGAAATCACCATGGTAAATCAGTGCTTGTGAGAATTCTATTCCTACTTTTACAAACTTTAGCTATGTTTTTTCATAATTTCTAGGAGTTTAATTATAATTTTTGTGCTCATGTTAATCCCCTTCTCCAGCATCCTCCCAACTTCTTGAGAAAATTGCAAATTTCCTCTCCCCACTCCCTTCCCAGACATACAAAGGCAGAAATGCTGCAATTCAGTATCAAGTTAAGTCAGAACAGTCATATATCTATAGGTGCATATGTCTGTAAATAATGCATGCAACCAGTGTCATAATATTAATTCCCATGTTCTATCCTCCACTGGCAGACTTTGTTAGAGATTGAGTGTAAAAAAGGTTTTGGAATAGCAGTTGACTGGCTGTAGAACTCCTACCCCCTACTCCCTACTCCCTACCCCTTACCCCCACCCCTGGCCTGATATCCTGAGGATTGAATTTAATCCTTTAACCTGAACGATGTAGAAGGAACAGTACAATATTAAAAATGGATACACACATGCATAGTAGCATAATTGCCAAACAAAACCAACACAAAAACATGAGGGATGAGAATCTAATAACTCTTGGTTGGCAAATGGATAAATATTACATGAAGTTTGCTGTATTTTGGCATATATTCTGATGTCTATTGAAATGTTGTATTGTTCTCTTGCATTAATTCATTATTTGAAAATGACTAGCATTTGTTAGGAAAATATCTCTTTACACATTAGTTTTTTTTCTAAAAAACAGTTATTAAAACACCACAATTCAGCATAAACCATTTTTCACAGAACTGTGCATGTGGGAGGTCATGAAATGTTTTTCTTCCTTTGCATGATTGAAATTCTTGAGATAATGGTCTTACACTATTATCAAATAGTTCATAATGTATGAAACATTTACCCCTGTCTCTAGAGTCTCCAGAGTTGATTGATTATGTCTCTATTTAGTGAGCACTGTATCAGTGATGTGTTTTAAATCAGGCCATCAGTCCTGTGTTTGTCCATCATCAATTATCACTCTGGAGTCCATTTTTCTGATCAAACTTGTAATGTATATACTTTCTTATCGTCAAAGTCAAAATGGTTCAGTAATTTATTGCGCTAATATCAATTCAGAAAAAAGCAAAAAAACTTTAGCCACCAAGTTAAAAATATTGCCTATTAAAGACCAAATCTGTTTGAGAAAAGCCAAATTAATGTTTTGGAAGAATCAGCTCCTGAATATTTACAATCACTATTCCAGTAATACTCTCCCACCTGTGATCTGTGTCTACCAAACAGTATAAAATTCCCAAACCAAATAAAGAATTATTCAAAAAAAGTTTCCAGTACTTTGATCTGGAATAGTATTCCAGTTGAGATTAGAAATTCCTACTCTATTTCCTTCTTTCCACTCTGTTGGCCTAGTGGTTAGAGCATCCACCTTGTATGCGTAAGGTCATGGGTTCAATCGCCGGTCAAGTCATACCAAAGACTTACAAAAATGGTACTAACAGCTGTCTCGCTTGATGCTCAGCATTAAGAGGTTAGTGTTAAAACTCATGTCGGCCTGGTGTCAGGATAAGGGGACTGGGTGGGGACATCATGTTATATGTCTGTGGCATGATGCATGATGCCCCTGTGCCAGACATCACTATCAACTGCCACACTGCATACATCATAGCGATATGAATGAAAAATTATTAAAGCTACATTAAAAATCATAATCACATCACATCCTTCTTACAAACCCAATATATCCAGTGGCTTCAGAGATCCAGCTAAAATGAATAAATTCTTTTGTATGAGGGCCCCAAAGGCAGATTAGTTCTTAACTAACTGTGTTACCCTCTTTAAAGAAAGTCATTAGTAGTATTATTGTTGTTGTTATTGTTGTTATTATTATTATCATTTTTATTATTATTATTATTATTATTATTATTATTATTATTATTATTATTATTATTATTATTATTATTATTATTATTATTATTGGCTTACCTTCTTTTTATTACATTGACAGCCATGTTTCTTCTAATCTAATTGTTTTATAAAACTTGGAATTTATGCTTATATTGTTGTTTCTGGTCTGACTTTGAATAAACATAGAATATATCCAAATACATGTATGTGAGAGAACCAAGATATCAGATCAGTTGAATACATATATGTGACAGAACCAAGATATCAGATTAGTTGAATACATACATGTGACAGAAAAAGATATCAGATCAATTGAATACATATATATGACAGAACCAAGATATCAGATCAGTTAATTAAAAAAGTTTGATCAGCAGACTGGCTACTAAATTTGTATCAGTTTTTATTGACAGAAACTTCGCACTTTTTAAGTGGAGAGCATCTGCAACAAATGCAGCTTTTTGGAATAATACATATTTATATTATATTAAATTGCCAACTTTTGAACAAGAAATAGATTTTGGTGGCAAATCTTATAATAATAAACTAATTAAAATGAATCATGGTATTTTTACTAAGATTGCAATGATTTTGTGATCTTAAACTAAGTAGCAAATAGAAGCAAAACCAAATAATTTTGTAAAAATTGATAAACAATTTATTTCTTCAAGTTACACATTTTAAAATTTAAGAGAAACATATTGAGAATTCAATACCAAATAATCTTAAGAGTTCTATTACATGGCCAACAGTAAAGAGTGTTCTGAATAAATTCCAATATTGAATTTGCTGATGTACCAGTAATCTTGAATAGGTTTATGTATGAACAGTTTTGATGTATTACAGTGGTATAATACAGAATTCTTTTGAATGAATTCACAATAAACCCAAAGTAGTGTTTTAGTCCTAATGGTGCATTTGCATATGGTAATTCCAGTGAATAATTTAAATAAATAATTTCTTTTAAGTTGTAACTGAACACAGACTGAACTTAAAATGAAAATAAATATTTTTTTTGCCACAAGCTTATATAAACATAACACAATATAAAATGACAAGGGGATTTGGGTCTGAAGTTTGCTTCTAGATCATTACAAGATTGTAGATAAGGTGATAAGTTGAACTTAAATATGAGTGAACAACATTTATTTATAACTTACAAACATATGAAAGAAACTATATACACACAAAATCTCTATCCTCAATCATGGATGAAGGTCAAGCATATAAAATAAATATGCATAGCAAAATGAAAATATACGAGTTGAATATCTTGTCACTCACTGCAAAGATTTTTCTTAAAAACCCACAAGCTATTAATTTACAGGTTAGGTTTGCTGCTTGATAACCAGTGATGACATCAGTTATGATCATCAAGTTTCACAATTTATAGGCTTGCAGTACTTTTCTGGTTAGCTTTCCCTTGAATCTTTCCATATTTTCCAGAGAATGGAGCATGTCCTCTCTGTTTCAGTACAGGTATGTGGCTGTGTGAGAATGATAGAACTTTAGATCCTGTCTCAGATAAGGCCTTCAAAGAGAGTGTGTTTGATACAGAAGAATCACAGCACAAACTAAGGACCTATTTGGTTTTGTTGGCAGAAGCCTGGTGATGCCATTTGATTCTCAAATACTCTTCATCTCAACTTTTTATGAAGCACACAATGTTAACTCTGAACCTTTGCTACTTGCTTTCACCCACTTAAACACAGATTTCCAAGCAATATTGAACTTGTTGGAATAGTTCTTAGCCAGTGTTTTTTAGCATTGGGAGAAAGTATACATTTGATAAGAATTGATCATCAGAGCTTTCAATAAATATTCCTCTTAAAATATATTGAAAAAGGCAGTAGCAATTTAACAAGATAGAAATATTGAAATGTTATATGCAGGTGTTTCTGTCAAAATAACCTTTTGGTACCTGCATTCATTTTATCTCCCCTCTGCCAAACAATTTCCAATTTTTAATGAAAGAGATGTCATGGACAACTTTGATATCTTTTTAATTACTTTTAGCACCTCAGTAAATATATTGCTTAGGACATTAACTCACCAAATTATAACAAGAAAGTAATCTATTTTGACCAGTTTTATGTTTACACATGTTAGTCATTAGTGTATAAATTATTTGTTTGCCAGGGTTTAAGATTATATTCAGCAATGTTAAATGCACACTTTCAAAGAACCTGAGGAAAATCTTATAGTCGAAACCTATTTACACACAAATTATTATATATGTAATGTCTTTGAATAATGGGCAAATGAAACTCAGGTCACAGATAATCCAAGTGTGCCAAAAGATTTTGAATTTCAGGTATGGCCAGTCAAGTTACTGTTCCATGCTTTCAAGTTCTAAGTGATAGAGGTACTGGTACCATGTTTTTCAAGTTCTAAGTGATAGTGGTACTGGTACCATGTTTTTCAAATTCTTAGTGATAGAGGTACTGGTACCATGTTTTCAAGTTCTAAGTGATAGAGGTACTGCTACCATGTTTTTCAAATTCTTAGTGATAGAGGTACTGGTACCATGTTTTTCAAATTCATAGTGATAGAGGTACTGGTACCATGTTTTTCAAAATCTTAGTGATAGAGGTACTGATTCCATGTTTTCAAATTCTTAGTGATAGAGGTACTGGTACCATGTTTTTCAAAATCTTAGTGATAGAGGTACTGGTACCATGTTTTTCAAAATCTTAGTGATAGAGGTACTGATTCCATGTTTTCAAATTCTTAGTGATAGAGGTACTGGTACCATGTTTTTCAAAATCTTAGTGATAGAGGTACTGGTACCATGTTTTTCAAAATCTTAGTGATAGAGGTACTGATTCCATGTTTTCAAATTCTTAGTGATAGAGGTACTGGTACCATGTTTTCAAGTTCCAAGTGATAGAGATACTGGTACCATGTTTTCAAGTTCTTAGTGATAGAGATACTGGTACCATGTTTTTCAAATTCTTAGTAATAGAGATACTGGTACAATGTTTTCAAGTTCTTGAGGTACTGATACCATGTTTTCAAGTTCTTAGTGATAGAGGTAATAGTACTATGTTTTCAAATTCTAAGCTATAGAGGCAATGGTACCATGCTTTCAAGTTCTAAGTGATAGAGGTACTGGTACCATGTTTTCAAGATTCTTAGTGATAGAGGTACTGGTACCATGTTCTCAAATTCTAAGCTATAAAGATACTCATACCATGCTTTCAAGCTCTAAGTGACAGAGATACTGTTACTATGTTTTCAAGTTCTAAATGATAGAGATACTGGTACCATGCTCTCAGGTTCTAAGTGACAGGTACTGGTGCCATACTTTCAAAGTCTAAGTGACAGAGGTACTGGTACCATATTCTAAGGAATAGAGATACTGGTACCATAATTTCAGCTCTAAGTGACAGAGGTACTGGTACCATTTTTTTTTTAAGTTCTTAGTGACAGAGGTACTGGTACCATGTTTTCAAGTTCTTAGTGATAGAGGTACTGGTACCATGTTTTCAAATTCTAAACTATAGAGGTACTCATACCATGCTTTCAAGCTCTAAGTGACAGAGGTACTGGTACCATGTTTTCAAATTCTTAGTGATAGAGGTACTGGTACCATGTTTTCAAGTTCATAGTGATAGAGGTACTGGTACCATGTTTTCAAATTCTAAACTATAGAGGTACTCATACCATGCTTTCATGCTCTAAGTGACAGAGGTACTGGTACCATGTTTCCAAGTTCTTAGTGATAGAGGTACTGGTACCATGTTTTCAAATTCTTAGTGATAGAGGTACTGGTACCATGTTTTCAAGTTCTTAGTGATAGATTTACTGGTACCTTGTTTTCAAGTTCTTAGTAATAGAGGTACTGGTACCATGTTTTCAAGTTCTTAGTGAGTGATAGAGATACTGGTACCATGTTTTCACATTCTTAGTGATAGAGGTACTGCTACCATGTTTTCAAGTTCTTAGTGATAGAGGTACTGGTACCATGTTTTCAAGTTCTTAGTGAGTGATAGAGATACTGGTACCATGTTTTCAAGTTCATAGTGATAGAGGTACTGGTACCATGTTTTCAAGTTCTTAGTGAGTGATAGAGATACTGGTACCATGTTTTCAAGTTCTTAGTGATAGAGGTACTGGTACCATGTTTTTCAAATTCTTAGTGATAGAGGTACTGGTTCCATGTTTTTCAAAATCTTAGTGATAGAAGTACTGATTCCATGTTTTCAAATTCTTAGTGACAGAGGTACTGGCACCATGTTTTTCAAATTCTTAGTGATAGAGGTACTGGTACCATGTTTTCAAGTTCCAAGTGATAGAGATACTGGTACCATGTTTTTCAAGTTCTTAGTGATAGAGATACTGGTACCATGTTTTCAAGTTCTTGAGGTACTGATACCATGTTTTCAAGTTCTTAGTGATAGAGGTAATAGTACTATGTTTTCAAATTCTAAGCTATAGAGGCAATGGTACCATGCTTTCAAGTTCTAAGTGATAAAGGTACTGGTACCATATTTTCAAGATTCTTAGTGATAGAGGTACTGGTACCATGTTCTCAAATTCTAAGCTATAAAGGTACTCATA